TGTGCATGATTATTACCGTTAGCATCTTACCTTGTTGAGAATAATAGTATACATACATATGTAAGTTTATAAAAAGTTTTAGTTATTTAAATAATAATTTCTACGATTTAAAGCAATTTATTTTGCAGAAGAGCGTAGACTTTTTACGGCTAGTGTATATCGAATTTAGGATGTGAAGTATGAATATTTTAAGTTAAATTTATAATAGAAACATACAATGTCACTATAAGAAAATGAGATATTTTTTTATAAAGTATCTTAGTTAAGAAAAGGAATCACCAAATCAATACAACACAAATAAATTATTTTTAAACATATGTATATACATATACATATGTGCATATTTATGTAAATATGCATCCATAGACGTTTGATTAAACGTACTTAAAATTTTTGAAATGTTTTCTATTAAAATTTCATTACAACTAAGAAGTGTAACCTATGATATTCTAAGTGATCGCAGTTTGTTGTAGTCCTAACGGTACAATCGTTATCTCTCGTCTCGTCTTGGTGACGCGTTTATATGAGTGTAAATAAAAATAATAAATTTTTGCAAACTTTTTTTATTTATACGAGTAAGTAATGAAAATTTACAACTCAAATTGGATATTTGGATAATTATAAAAACAGTTCTAGACATTGGAAATAAAAAATAAAAATAAAATTTTTTAATGAACAACATTTGTCGAATCGGCAAATTGCACTCAAAATTAGAAGGTCTGAGGCAGTTGTTCGAAATTTATTAAAAAAGCGCTAAATTATGGTAAAATAAAAGCTGGGCTTGCGAGATAAAGACCGAATTTGTGACGAAGCCACGCAAAACATGCTGACATGTGCACAAATAAAAACAAAAAAAAGGCTTTTTGTGACCAAACGACACCTTGTGCGTGTTTTTAAAGAAAACCGGAGGCATAATATGGAAAAAAACGGTCGGGCGTCTTGTTTGTCTAAGCTGTTAAAAGAGAAGAGGTCGGAGTTTGCTCAAAAGTGTATCCACTGGAATTAGGAGTGGAAATACGTCATATTTTCGGACGAGAAGAAATTCCATCTTGGTAGTCCTGATGGTTTGAGCTACTCTTGGCGTGTTACCGTCCAAAAACATCACCAAAGAATGAGATGGAGTTTTGGAGGGGGTTCTGTAATGGTATGGCGTGCCATTACGTATACTCATAAACTACCGCTGTGCTTCATTATCACAAAAATGAACTCCAAGAAGTATACAGAGTTGTTGGACGATACGATAATTACGTTCATGGAAAACAATGTAGAAATAGAGTACATTTATCAGTAAGACAATACCGCCATACATAAGTCGAAGGAAGCGAACGAGTGGTTTCAAGGGTGAGAAATCAATTAATTGGGCTGTCCCGCATGTAGTCCACATTGCAATCCCATTGAAAATTTATGGGGCATATTATCTTCAAAATGTGTATGCGAATTGTATATAATTTAAAATGTTTTCTGGGCTTGAGGAACGAATAAAAGCTTGTTGGATGGAAATTGAACTTGATGACATTATAAAACTAGTAAAGACATTGCCCGATAGAATTTTTAAACTCATAACATCTAAAGAAAGTGTAATAAATTATTAAACTACTGACTATTGACCAGCCAAATGCATTTCTACTTTTATTCTTTACAAAAAGTATCACCAGTTATTTTCCAAATTAAATATTTTGATTGTTTTTTTTTGTCAATTAATTAAACACTATTTTTAAAATGATTTCTTAATTAGTGCCGAGTGCCATTGCGAAAAAAATATAATGAAAGATGGAACATTTTTAAAAATAACAAGAATGTAAGTGCTTTTTAATCAAATGTCTATGACTGTATTTATTGTAATTCAAACTCTGGTATACCTAGGTAAAACAAAGAGCGTTTCAAACAAAAACATACAAAAGTACATTATATGGCTCACATAGTTAAGTATTTTGCATAATCCTTTTGGCGCACTAAATTGCATTTTTACAGTAATAAGAAGCCAAACCTAACTGATTTTCATGTGCTTACTTATTACTTTGTTGAACGAAACTATTATGCGATATACACAAGGGTGTGCGGTTTTATGAAACTTAGTTGAAAGTGGAACTTTTTATGTTGTGGGTAATCAATTGAAATTTTTCGGAAAATTATTCGATTTTGGTTGTTAAAATCACGTATTTAATCTAAACTAAATAATTATTAAGGGAAATGATAATAGTAGACAACAAATCCAAATATAAGGTTGTCAAATATCTCCGCTTTTTTGCTCTTCATTCAATGCTTTATAAAAAGTGTTACAGTGATCGGATTTAGTTAAAATATGCGCCGTTTTGTTCGATGATCTGTTTCCATCTAGACGGCAACTTCATAATACCTTCCTCGTAGAAGCCCCCCTCCTTATTTGCGAAGAATTCGGACAGCCACTTTTCACAAGCCTCTTTTTAGTTCAACTTCACACCACCAAGGGCATTCGCCATGGACAGGAACAGGTGGTAATCACTTGGCGCTACGTCCGGGCTATATGGTGGATGCGATAAAACCTCCCATCCGAGCTCCCGTAGCTTCTGACGAGTCATCAACGAAGTGTGTGGTCTGGCGTTGTCCTGGTGGATCACTACACACTTCCTGTTGGCCAATTCTGGACGCTTCTGGTCGATCGCCTGCTTCAAGCTGTCCAGTTGTTTGCAGTAGATGGTAGAATTAAGCGTCTGGCCATATGGGAGCAGCTCATAGTGGATGATTCCCTTCCAATCCCACCAAACACACAGCAAAACCTTCCTGGCCGTCAATCCCGGCTTGGCCACTGTTTGGAACGATTCATCGGCCTTCGACCACGACCGTTTTCGCTTGATATTGTCGTACGTGATCCATTTTTCGTCGCCAGTCACCATCCGCTTCAAGAATGGGACGAGTTCGTTCCGTTTCAGCAGCATATCGCAGGCGTTGATTCGGTCCAGAAGTTTTTTTTGCGTCAAATTATGCGGCACCCAAACATCAAACTTTTTTTTGTATCCAGCCTTCTGCAGATGGTTCAAAATGGTTTGGTGACTAACTCCCATCTCCTGGGCGATGTCACGAGATGCCATATGCCGGTCTAACTCGATGTATTCCATGATTTGATCGGTATTTGTCGTCACAGGTCTTCCGCCGGCTGGCTTATCCATGGTGTCGTTTTCACCGGCTCTGAATCGTCGAAACCATTCCTCCGCGGTTCGAAGTGATAGAGTACCATCCCCCAAAACACCATTAATCTCACGGAACGTTTCTCTAGCGGATTTGCCTTTAACGAAGGAAAACTTTAAAATAGCGCGAATTTCGGCGTTAGTGAACTCCATGTTTACACGTCTATAACTGTTGAACGCAATATCCAAACTAATCATGCATAGCGTTGTTTTGTAGGTTATGTCAAGACCTTTCAAATTATGTATAGTGTTGCCAGATACGAGCTCTGTAGCGCTTTGTACATAGCCGCGAAATTCAAAAGACAAAAAAGCGGAAGGGAGATATTTGACAACCTTATATAAACTTTTATTTCACTCTGCGTATTAGAATCATTCAGATACATATATTAAAAACTAAGAAAAATATTTTTTTATTTGGTTGAACTATTTTGAACTCCAGTTGTCACTAACTTCATCTGCGCCCTGAGAATTACAGTTCATAAACGTAACGGGAAAACATCCATCCACGCTATTACATAAATTTAAAGTTGGTACCTTCGGCGAAAACTATGTTCCGAACCTAGCCATTCGAACTCTCTACAAATTCGCAAAGTCAAAATTCCTGCTGGTAATCCCGGAGTTAAAAACACAAATATATACAGATATGCGATATCTTGTCTGGAAGTCAAGGTCTTCCACAAGCGTATGGTTCACAAATCACGAAGCCCTCAAAACCGCGGTGTTCTTAAAAAGACATATATCGTTATATTGAAAAATAGCGTTCTGTTAATTAATTCTGGTGTTGAATATGGTATTGATTTAGAATTAAATTTAGTTTATATTAAGTTATTCATATAAAGGCAACGTACTTTATTATGTTCTTAAATAATAGTTCCACGGTGTAAAGGTGACTGAAATGAAAGCAATGATGTACATAGTCTACTTGAAATAAATAGAAGATTTGTAAACGACTTGGTAAGAATAAACAGTGTACGCGAAATGATGAGTTCAAATAACTTACCAACTAAATTAACTATTTGGATATATAATTGTATGTGCTAGATTGTGCGATTTTCCAAGTTTAAAAAAAAATCAATTAATACACCACATTTTAGTTATTTATTGAAAGGTAATAATAATAATAAGACCGAACACTTAAAATTTGTATTCTCTCACAACATGTTGCACAGAGTATAATAGTTTCGTTCACCTCACTGTTATTTGTATCACATAAAGATCAATATAATGAAATTAATTGTATTCGTTGAGGTTGCTATTGTATGTACCCACATATTGCACCATTGTACTGCCATTAATCATAAATAATATAATGTGCTATAAACTAGCTATGGAACTTTATCTTAGTGCAGAGTTTTACATTAGAGATGCAACTCTCATTTGAAAATGTTCAAAAAGGGAAGGCTTTTTTACACAAAGTCCCTAAATCTAAATATTTTCGTTAGACCATTTGTCGAATACATAGGAGCCAGTGAAATAACATTGATACAAATATAATATGTTATTATTTTTATACCCTTGCTTGTACAACACTAGTTCTCGTTTGACTATGTTATGTATTAAAGGCAGCACTCACTTTTTTGTGTTTAACTGCTACTTTTTTGGTTGTCGACTTACTTTGGTAAGGTGTTGGTTAGGGCAGTCCAGGATTTATAACAAACCTAATACTTCACGATCATGAATATATTATTCTATAGGTAGAATATCGAAAAAATGTTTCTGTCTAATGTGCAGTAGTGCAAAAGCGTTGAATTTACTCCTTTTTTCTGTGAAGAACTGATCATTTTATAAATTAAATAAATCTAACTACGTACTTTACTAGCAAGACTTATGTATATTAAGATCCCGGTTTTAATGATAAAGAGAAAATCGATTCTGTTTCCCTTACGCCCAGAGTCAAAGTTAACCTCTTTCAGATCACTAGACGGATTAACCCCTAAAGGAAGTATTTTTATTATTGTTTGTATTTTTGTTTGCTTTATAAAATTCCTGTCTTCTTTTTCACTTCCTTTTTCTTTCTATAGGTTCAGTGCAAATGATTCCGAGAACGGACAGCGGTGAGTTTACAAAGGATAGAAAATATAAATATTATAATCAGCTTGTACATATGAATTATTATTTTTTATTTATGAGCTGCTGGTGTGAATGTATAAATACCTTTTGAATAATTTTAATGCTCTTCAACTAATACCGCCTAGAAACAAGATAATACTTACACTTACTAGAAAAAAGGAGTTAATTTTCTCGGGCCCAGAGTTTTCGGAGGAGCACGTAGAAAACTACATTTATTTTGCGTTATATCCATTTCGATGCTGAGAAGAGTCTTACTAACGTTTCTTCGCTCCTGTAGATTGTCAAGAAAAAACCGGCAAACACGGGCTACGATATTGGTAGTTATATGAGCGGTAAATATAAAGGAGCGCAAAATCACATCCAAGGTAAAAATAAGTATGAATTTATTTCGCCCTGAACGTCCACACGCTGAATTTGGCTAAAGTCGACTGGGATGAATGCTATCCTGGTCCAATAACTTTTTTTGGTGTCGTTCAGAAATGTCAATATTTTCACAACGTTGGGAAATTCTGATATCCAAAATACCCTATTCAGTGTCTTTCTAATACAAGATGATCTGGTAGATATTGATAAACACTTTGAAAGAAGTTAAAAACTCAACCTTACAGCAGAAACTCTTCGAGACGTTGATGGAATTTTGAAATATTATATATAAGCAAACTTCAGTTCGTTTTGATGGCCTGGATATGGTTTAAAATCCTTCAGTTAATCAATGAAAGAAACTTGGTTCTTCAAGAGATCAATGCCACCATCGACGCTGAAGTTGGAAATATACCATAGAAAGCCTTCTTGTAAATTTGCATTTTTTGAGCGTCCAGGGTAAACCAATTAATAATGACTGCAAAATTGTTTCAGAGAATTCAGAGCATGTCGAGACGATGTTACCATCAGCAATGGATGAAAATTACAGTAAAACGTAAATTGAATTCAAAAGAAACACTTTCTGCGTCATTCTTGACAGCGTTATCTGTGGAATGAAGAGAATATTCGCCGCAGTGAGTTACATAAACGAATCGTTCTCATTTCTATTGCAGTTCCATGATATGAAAGAAGATAAACTCAACACAGTTGCCAAAAATTTTGCAAATAAGGACTCCGTTTATTTATCTCATAAGTTGTCCAATGAAGCTATTCAGTTCAGACACGTTTACGATACAAATTATGAAACACGTCTTACTCCATAAAACTTATCGAAGCCATCTGAACAATTCTATACTTAATTTGCGTGGGAGCACACACCACTGATTCAATATTAATATAATAAACGTAAGGGTCTCGGTGTATCAATAATTTTGGTTTATTCCGCAATATAATAATAATGTATTTTACATTAGCGAAATTAAATAGATAACATAGAAAATGATATTGATTTGTGGACGGAATCGAACGCAGTACGGGAACTGTTGTCGAAACGAATTATTTTAGCGAAATGCAGGTAGCGCACTTGATCGCTTTCGTATCGATGTGTTGTTTACGCAGCGCAGTATCCTAACGAATGTTGATCCTCTGATGTGGGGACCATCCTTTTTGTTGCTTGGTGGTGTTGGGTGTCGTCGTGTGGTGACATTTTGCTGAGTGTGGTGGTGTTCTCAGGTGTGGTGTTTATTAGTAGTGTGCGCTAGTTTTTGCCGAGTAGAGTGGTGTGTTTAGTTACTGAGGCTTAGCTTATTTAAACATCCTGGGCCCCACTAGGCGAATATTTTGCCTAGTTTTACACATGTTTACTAAAAATGATATATGTATGTATTGCGGCATGCTGCTGGTTGAGAGTTGAGGGGTCACATGGTGATGGAGTAATGTTATATCCACATTTATCTGTAGTGTATAAAACGGCTTTGGTTTTAAAAACATATCTTGTATGCATTTTAATATGCATGTAGGTGCTTTAAGGTAAGTAACTTTATTTTGCGGGTTTCTTTTATAAAAATAATAATATTATTATTATTATTTGTATTCTTTGTTTAAAATTTTTACCATCGGCTTATTAAGGTTAGCGACTCCACGCCTGGCTAAGATATGACCAGAATGGGTGCTCCTTTGAAACCTTTGAGAGATCTTGCGAGAGTGAGATTTGTGATTTTCGCTTACTTTTTTTAAGTGGGATATGAAGCTTTTTATAGCTGATTTCCATAAACTACCCATATGAGGAGCGCTTAGATAAATGCGACGTTTGCTTTTTGCAAATCTAGGAGCATCGCTGTATCACCTTGGGTATGGTGATCCCTTAATTTTATTTTTGTGTTGTACTATAAATTTGAGAATTTATAATACTAGTCTGATGGGCTCGGGAGAACGATAAAATCGTTCAAGGATGTTAGTATCATCCAATATTGTGTACTGTGTCGATTTTTCTAGGAGAATTGTGGCGCGCATGGACGAGTGTACGTGCGATGGAATATACTTGGATATGTGTTTCATGCACACGGTGGTCTTTCTAGCCAGGCTATTCGGAATTGGAGCAGCGAGATAGTTTATATTTTACCAGGTTGAAATGCTACATACGTGGATACTAATTTGGCAATACCACATAGCTCATGATTTTTGTATCATTATTGGCGAAAGCCATCCTGCGGGGTCGCCAAGTTATATATGTATCTGTTTTTAATATTGGGGATGTCCAAGGAAATTCTGACTTTATTTTATTTTATTTTTCTGCCAATTCGTGGAGAGTCGGAAAATTGTGGCTTTAGCGGTAGTCGTACGACGTACCGACCATTATTTGATCGAGTAGTTGTGGCTTTTAGTCTTAACAATACTGATACTCTAGGGTTGTAATTGATATGAAGGGGCGTTGTTCTAACCCCCGAAATTTCCTTAATTGTGAATGAAGGTATTCTTTAGAATATTCGTCAACTTGAGTTGTCGATGTGGAAACTGGTTCTGTAACTAGTCCACTTAGAATCCAACCAAATATAGTGTTTTGGGCCAGAAGGGTGTTTGAAATTTTCTCAATACCTTCGAGTATTATCTGTGGTATGAGATCGCTGCCTAATAGAAGATCTATTTGAGCGGGAGTGTTGCAGTTGGGGTCTGCTTGCTTTAGGTATGAAACCTTTTGCCATGCTGGCTGCTATTTATTTGATAGCTTGGAAGCATATTTGTAAGTTGCGGTAAGACTATAGCTTCTGCTTGTATTTGCTTATTCACTTGGGGGGAATTAGGGTAATGGGGCAGGTTTTATTTGAGTTTTGATCTACTCTTCCGCCCATTTCTGTAATTTCAAAGTTGGCTTGTTTTGTTGGCAGCTGTAGCCTATTTTGTGCCCTAGACGCTATGAAGGATCTTTCGCAATCTTTGAGTGAATGCGCACGTGGGGCATTTTCTTTGTGATGAAAGTGATTACTCCCATAGAAGTAATGGTTTTTCTGGTAATGCTGCAGTGCATATGTTTACCAGTATAGGGTCCCAGCTGTCTGTGGGAATATTTTGTGTCGATAGAACCGACAAACAATTAGAAACAGTGGATTGTAGTCTAACAAATTCTTCACTTGTTTCTTTTCGAATTTTAGGCAAGTTTATTAGTGTCGTTACTTGTTTATCGACCAATATTCTTTCGTTTTCGAATCTTGATTTAAGAGCTTCCCAAGCCAAATTGAAATTATCGTCATTAAGTGCGAACTGTTTTACTATTACGCCTGCTTGACCTTTTGTTTTGTATCGGAGGTGATACAATTTTTGTGCTTGTGATAAGTTTGGATGGTTGATGTATACGGCTGTAAACATGACCCGGAAGGACGGCCATTCTTCATAACCTCCATAAAATGTTTCTGCGTCACATGCGGGCACCTCGAGGTGGATGCCTGAACTTGCCTCTTGATTTTGTATTTGTGGCAGCTCTACTCTCGGATATGGAGTAGGTGCAATTGCATTTATTAGCTTTAATTGATCAGAAATCATAGCTTTTGTTTCTTCGTGCTGGTCTAAGCAGTTTTCGTATATTGCGTAAGCCGATGATTTGAAATTGTGTGGTAGATGTGAATTGTCAAAATGTACTATGGCGTCGTGAGCCGTTTGGAGACGAGTCCAATAATGGTCAATATTTTTTTTTTTCCAATAATGATTCAGAGATGTCTTGAATCGGTGAAGATGAAAATCGAGTGCAGTATCATGTTAATCTGTCACTCTCAGATATGAATTTGGTGACACAAATATTTTTACCTTTTATTTGCTTTGTGGCAACCTGTCTTGAGCGTGTAGCTTCTGCAGGTGTAATTTGATTTTTGTCGTCATTAACCATTTTTGTTAAGAGAACATATTTAATTGAACAATACTTTTTTTGTCCTTATGTTGAGGTATTTTGGTAGACCCTAATACACGGACTTGTATGTATATATTTATGTGCCTGTGCAATTGAGAGCTCGTTGAAGAGATCAATACACTTTGTACATAGGTACGCACGAATTGTTTGTGCGTTGGTATGTTCATTTTCTAATGCAATTAAGAGCTCGTTGAAGAGATCAATGTGCTTTTAGGTTTTTTTTTTGTACGCAATCTTGCTTGTTTGTTACAAGGGGTATTGCCGAATAATTGCCAATGTGGACTTTGTAAAAATGTACAAATGTACGTACCTATGTTATCGTATTTTTATACTCTCGCAACCTCTTGCTACAGAGTATAATAGTTTTGTTCACCTAACGGTCCGTCCGTCTGTCCGTCCGTGCAAGCTCTAACTTCAGTAAAAATTGAGATATATTTATGAAACTTGGTAGACATGTTTCTTGGTACCGTGAGACGGTTGGTATTGCAGATGGGCGTAATCGGACCACTGCCACGCCCACAAAACGCTATTAATCAAAAACAAATAACTTGCCATAACTAAGCTCCGCAATAAGATACAAGACTGTTATTTGGTACACAGGATCACGTTAGGGAGGGGCATCTGCAGTTAAAACTTTTTTTAAAAAGTGGGCGTGGTCCCGCCTCTAATAGGTTTAATGTGCATATCTCCTAAACCGCTAACTGCTATGCTATAACAAAATTCACT